CTGAAGGGTTTGTGGACCCTCATCACCCAGACGATGTTTATAGGTTAAAGAAGGCCTTGTACGGGCTTAAGCAGGCTCCGCGTGCCTGGTACGAACGCCTAACCCAGTTTCTGGTCAAAATGGGGTACTCTCGAGGGGAGTTGATAAAACTCTGTTTGGTCAATGAGTTTGCTAGTCACATGTCTAGAGAATTTGAGATGAGCATGGTTGGAGAGATGTCCTACTTTTTGGGGTTGCAAGTCAAGCAATCCAAGGAAGGGATTTTTCTTCATCAGACCAAGTATGCCAAAAATCTTGTGAGAAAATTCGGGCTAAAAAATTCTAAGTGTCCAGCAACACCAATGGGGAGCCACTCTAAGATCTCTAAGGATGATGTTGGAACTTCAGTTGATTCCACACTTTATAGAAGCATGATAGGAAGTTTACTTTCCTTGACTGCCAGTAGGCCTGATCTGTGTTTCAGTGTATGTATGTGTGCACGGTACCAAGCTAATCCTAAAGAATCTCACTTGAAGGCGGTGAAGCACATCATTAAGTATGTGCACGACACATCTGACTTAGGTATTCTGTACTCACGTGATACATCTTCTAGTCTTGCAGGTTATAATGATGCGGATTGGGCTGGGAACATTGATGATCGATGTAGTACCTCTGGTGTTTGTTTCTACATAGATAATAATCTCATCTCGTGGCTTAGTAAGAAGCAGAACTGCATTGCACTCTCTACAGCTGAGGCCGAATACATATCTGCTGAAAGTTGTTGCTCCCAGCTCGTGTGGATGAAGCAAATGATGATTGAGTTTGGTCTTGAGGTAAGAACCATGAACCTTTTCTGTGATAATACCAGCGCAATTAACATCTCTAAAAACCCGGTTCAACACTCCAAGACTAAACACATAGATATTCGGTATCACTTTATTAGAGACTTAGTCGAGAATGATGTGATTATCCTTGAGTATGTTTCTACACAAAACCAGCTGGCTGACATATTCACTAAAGCACTAGATTCTCAAAGGTTCATTTCTCTCAAGAAATCCTTAGGGATCTGCTCATTCTAAATGCTTGTGTGATTTTGCATTATATTATATTGTATTGTATATTATTAGTATTTATCTATTGCATTGCTTGTAAGCATATAGGGTATTTTGCATTTGGCATGTCGTGCATTTTGCATTCTCTTCACCACTAGATTCTTAATTTAAGTTCTAACTCTTCTGAAAACTTGAGAGATGTTGATTGTCTAAGACTGGCTTCGTGTTCTTACATTACCGAGGAACGTACTTATTTTCAGTATTTTTGGTTTTTGTCACAAATAGCTGCCTTCTCATAAATGATCTAGAGCGATAGCTAGCACATGGTTCGTTTCCCAATGCGGGATCGACTGTGAAAAGAGCGTTTTGGACAAAAAATGTTGAGAGTGGCGTAAGCTAGTGATACACATTGCATATTATTATGTGATATTATTACCCGGAGATATAAGGTGGTCACCCACATAAAAATTGTAGTGCTGTTTCATAAAAAAAAAACGTGGGATCCTTGCTTAAAATCGTGGTGCAAAGTAATGGGGTTGACCCTCACTATTGCAGTGATTGTTACTAAGTGAAATGCACTATGAATAATACAGCATGTGTTCTTGCAAAATTGAAGTTGCGGTTCGCACTACTCTGTGTATATACATATTCCGCTTATCGTATGTTCCTTTGGAAGTTGGAATCTCAAAGATGGTCTCGGACTGTCTTCGTCAATTTTGTCTAAGTTGAGAAGGAAAAGATTTTTTGAATCTAGTGTATCTTGTGTGCGATTTTATTTTCCTTATTTTTATTTTTATTTTCATCCTTAGGCATAAAATGCATACGATTTCCTTCTTGAAAGTGATCTATTTGAGTCTAAAATTTTGTGGAGAATATATACTTGGAAATAAAATCGGATTTTTTTCCTAAGTTTCGATATATTGTGAGCAGTTATCCTTGTGGAAGGTTTTCTTGTGTTTGAATTTTCAAATTTGGAGGGATCAGTTTTTCTCTAAACCGCCCAACTTGGATCTTTTTTAATCATTCTCTCTTCCTCAGATTGTATCTCCTTTACTCTCTTCTCTCTCCTTTTCGACCAAAACCCTATTTCACCATACTCAATCGCCGTTCTTCTCCCATGGTTGGAAGCAAAGATAAGTCCAAGAAGTAGCTGAAAAAGCATAAGGAGAAGAGGCTGAAGCGCCATCGTCTCTCAATCTCTGCGAGTTCTCAGCGAGAGTCTCCTTCGCCGACAAAATCTCCTTCTTAGGAATTGCCTCCACCCGACAAGTCTAATTCTCTGTCTGCTACCACATCTGGTTCTCCATCCAAGTCGGATAATGTTGGGAAGGACTTCGAACCCTCTCCCTTGGCCACTGGTGTACTTGGACTCTCCTGGTTTGAAGACCCTCTTGCGATTCAAACTCAGGGGGAGTCTTCTGCTGTTCCGACTTTCGCCGCCAAGTCCGTCACCAAGATGACGACTACTGAAGGAGAGAAAGACGACACCGCTGCTACTCTTGTTGAAGTTCACTTTGACCAACCAACTCATCTGGCTAAGGCCCCCGTGCACTGATCCACTCGCCGCAAAGGCAAATAACCGATTGATGAGGCCCATGTTCCACTGGAACCAGAGGATGATGCCTATGACCTTGAGAATGCCTTCACAAACAGGTTCTAAACCGAGGCCTCTCATGAGCGTTTTGTGCGTTTTGAGTCTTATGGTTTTTGGTCTGAGCATCCCATTAATGATGACAATTTTGTTAACCTGGGTGTTCTTCCTCTCATTGAGTCTGTTGGTCTGTCAAAATCTGTTGTGAACCTGAGTCCTTTTTGTGGTCAAGCTGTTCGTGAATTTTATGCTAATCTTACCCCCGCTGTCTTTGAATCTGGTAGTCCTTATTTTCATAGACTCTTTTTGCGTAATCGTATTATAGACTTTTCTCCTGCCTTGATCAATGCTCACCTTGGTTTACCCTCTGATGTCCCCTCCTTGCCTGATGTTGATCTGGATGTCGTGACCCAAGTTCTTACAGCCAATCAACTTGATACTTGGCCTGGTTCTAACCTGTCTGTTAACTCTCTGTGTCTCGTTGCTAATCTGCTTCATAAGATTGGAGTAGGGAATTTGACTCCCACGTCCAATAAGACCTTGGTCGCTGAGCTTCAAAGCAAGGTTATCTATTGGGTCATGGTGGGTGAGGTTTTTAATTTTGGGGAGGTTGTCTTTGAAATTCTTCAGCCATTCATCTCTAATATCGAGTCTCGTTGCTCTCTGTCCTTTCCTTGTTTGATGTGGTCATTCCTTACTGGTCAGAATTTCTCCTTGAACCCTCGTTATAATGACACTCTTGAGGAGCCTGGTAAGGCTCTGGTTGTGAGTGCTCGTACTCTGAGTGAGAAGTCTGCCCCCAAGCAAGACCTGACCCCTTCCTTGGTTCCCACCAAATGGGATGAGTTTGTAGTTCAACAGTTGGTTGAGTGGTATGAACTGGCCAAGAAGGTTGCGGCTCAACAATCATACTTGCGTCAGGTCCTTCAAGCGGTCAAAGGAATGCAGCGCAAGAACTCGAGGACAGGCCATTCGGCATCCCGTAGTTCGAAAAAGGGGGAGAAAGCCTCCAAGAAGAAGGGTGTTGTTGTTGAAGATGAAAACTCTGGCTCTGGGGGAGATTCAACTGATGAGGCCATTGAGAAGTATGAAGCTGGGGAGTAGTTAGCTTGTTTTCTTTTGAGTGTTTTGGAGGGTTGTAGGGAGGTCTATTAAAGAACCTCGTATTTCATTTGCTTTTGTGATGTGGTATCTGTTGTTAGCTATGGGCTTACTAACTCTTGATGTTTGATTGTTTTTTATGAATGGTAGTTTGTTTGATTAATCTGGTTGTGTGTTGACTCAGATGGCTGCAAGACTGAGGGGGAGAACTGTGTTTGCCCACAGTCGTTATTTTGAATTTGAATAATCTCCCTCATGTATTTTCTCTATCTGTGTTTGGTGCTTGATGTTTTCACTTTTCAGGAGTTCTTTAAATCTGTTGTTTTCGAACTAGATGCCAAAGGGAGAGATTGAAAGATATTTTATTTGGCATTAGTTCGTCAGTTCGAACAAGCACCTGAAACCACAGAAAAATGGAAGATCTTTAATTATTTTATTTCCTTACTTGACTTTATTTTGTATTCCATAAATAAGATTGTGTAGATCTTATTATGGTACTTTACATTGTAGGAATCTGATTAAATCGAAAAAAAGAGAGAGAGGTTTGCGTGGCTAGGAGATATAAGAGAGAGAAAAGAGGATCCACACTTGCCTAATTACATGCTACAAATATGGAAGGAAATCACAAGGAGTCCTATGACTTGAAGAAGACTCCAACCCTAAGAAGATCTTATAAATACCCTAGGAGAAGCTCTTATTGCGGCTGCTGAAGAACGATAGATTTTTAGGGCAATAGTTGAGCTTCATATTTTCTATTCTGTACAGTTTTGTACACAGTTCAGTCTGAGAGTTCTTACGCGCTCAAGGACTGAAGCTGTTCTTTGTTTTAGTTTCTTTATTTCATTAAAACTATCTTTTGTTTTTATACTTAGGGAGTAAGTGTAGGATAAAAAATCCACAGGACGTGACCGGAGAAATAGTTGATAGAATCGTGAATAGTGTTGGCTAGACTAGAAGGAAGTTCGAGTCATGTAAGTCCAAACTATGTTTGTATATGATTTATCAATGAATGAGCTCTGAGGGAAAGTTGGGTGCTTCCCTGAAGAGTTTTGGTGTGTTCGATCTAATTGCTTCCGCATTTTACAATTCTATTTGAGTTTGTAGCACACTCCGTAATAAATATATGTTCCTTTATCTATTTTTAATAGTGCATATATGAATCGAATGACACATATTTAACCGTTGGGACTGGACTGCTGTAGCCTGTAAGTTTGCCAAGCAGCCCCGAACCCGAATAAAACACGATGCCTCCAGTAGTGGTAGAAACTCGAACAGCCATGGCGTCTTACGGTTGCAGAATTCCTGCCAGACCCCTCGTAAACAGATCGAAGACATCTTCTTTCTCACGATTCTCATCCGTGAATACCCGTTTCCTTCCCTCCAATTCACTCCGTCAGTTTCGTGCAATGGCGACCATTTCCGACGTCTCCACGCCATTCAAGAAAGTCCAGATTGAGAGAGATAACTCGGTAGGGTTAATTTTTGTTGGGCCCCATCGTTTTCACAATTTGTAGAACAAAAATGGTTTACACTTTCTTTAGTTAGGGTTTTGTTGGTCTAATATATTATTTATTAGTTTTGATTCGGGAGGAGATATATGGAACTTTTAGTGAATATCTCCTTGTGTACAATAATCATTTGCAAAATTGGTGTGGGTTCTTTGGCGGTTTATAAATTTAATTCCATTCATTGTTTCTCTATCAAAAACATTAATGGTTAGAATTGATATCTATGTGGATGGATTTCACCTGTATTTCATTTTGTTGTATGGTGTCAAATGGATACGTTTAAGCTTTTGCATTTACCTATGTATGTTTTTGAGATATTTCCTGGTTGGAAAATTTGTTGAGTAGACATTCGCCGCCTATGTCATTGGGAGAGATGACGCACCGGGGATTGTTGTGCTTCACGAATGGTGGGGTGTTGATTTTGAGATCAAGAATCATGCCCAAAAGATTACCCGGTTCGATAAGGGTTACAAAGCATTGATACCAGAGTAAGAAACAGAGTATTGTTCATGCAAGTTGAGATTTACCTTTTTTTTTTCTGATGTTTATTATTCTATTTGGTTTATGGTTGTAATATTCTCTTAAGGTATTAGTAGATGTCTATATCTTATCCTTTTCCTTTTCCTTTTCCTTTTCCTTTTCTTGTCGATAGCTTGTACAGGGGGAAGGTTGGTCTAGGTGCTGCTGAAGCTCAACACTTGATGGATGGTCTTGACTGGAAAGGTGCGGTGAAGGATATTGAAGCCTCTGTCAACTGGCTCAAGGAAAAAGGTTCTAAGAAGGTGTGTGGCGTTTCATAATGTCTAAATTTCATAGTTGTCTGCAGAAATCTATAAAGAAGTCCATATTCGGTGCTAATTACGAGTGTTTTTAACTTTCTTTTAGTTGTGTTGAGAAATAAACCTGTATCTATATTGACGTAGTTTTCATATTATATTCCAATTGACATTGTGCTAGGCGATGAGATTTCTCAATGTATGATGAATCTTTCAATGTAAGAAGAAAGAAAGTTTGGAACTTTAGTATCTCTTTATTTCCTTATAACTATGAATCCTTATCATTAGGTGATATGCATAAGTCATAACCCGCCACCTGTTCCGTCAATGATTTGAATCTTTGACTTTATGTTATGAGTTTTATTCCATGCCATATTAGGAGTTTGAAAACTTGTATTGCATGAATAGTCGTTGGACACTATGAGTTGTCAAAACTACTTCGCTTTTTACTGAAGTTGCTCAAATTGAGCACTTTTACATTGTGAGGACCCTCAAAGAATACATTTATGACTTACGATAATTTTTCTTCCACTTGGCTCATTTTTGAGGTGACACAACTCTGTGCAAGTGCACAGCTATAATTCCTACTTGTTTTACTAGTAAGATTTTCTTTAGGTTGGTGTTACTGGGTTTAGCATGGGTAGTGCCCTAGCTATTGCAAGTTCTGTATTGGTCCCGGGGGTTGATGCTGTGGCATCATTTTATGGAGTGCCTTCGCCTGAGCTTGCGGACGTCACCAAAGCTAAGGCACCCGTGCAGGCTCACTTTGGTCAACGTGATACCTTTGCTGGTTTTTCGGATGTTGAGGTATGATCGGTGTATATTCGAGATTCTTTTGTCTTCCTACATGATTCTCTTTGATAACGATTAACATGTAGATATTTCGGAAGGAACTTTCATTTCCTGTCTTAATTTATACATTAAAAGGTTTCGAGATATTGTACTTGAAGTTTCTTGATAAATTTCTTTAAATCTAGAAGCAAACAAATTTCGAATTCTAACTACTTTGGTTTTCAAACATGAATCTTGATTTAATGAAACAATTCTCAATTTTCATATGTTTTATTCCCTAGCCATACTTAAATGGTTTCTGATTATGTAGTTCCTCGTGCAACAAATTGTTCCTCAGCATATTAAACCACCCCCAGAAGGTCAAAACTTCACCAATGACTTAGATGCTCCAACTACCAGTATCATCACTTGTTGCCTGAAACACTGATTTTTGGCTTTATGTCTAGAACTTTATTTATAGGTACTTTTATTAACTTTTGAGCCATTGGCAAACCACACCTATGATATAATATTATCTGTGTTATGCAGTAAATCTGAAGAGCTGCCAATATACTATAACTAAATACTTGATGACTAAAAGGGGTATCTTTATTTTTTGTTTATATTTTGTTTCTTAGTACATAACTTTGTTCCAGACAGCAAAACGTTTCACATTTGAAGTGAGGGTTGTCGAACATGAGGTGTTCATTTATAAGAGAGTCGGGCACGCCTTCATGAACAGGTCCCCTGAAGGGATTGAGAGAATGAGAAGGATGGGAATAAATGATGAAAATGCTGAAGCAGTAAGTAACTTGGCATGGCTCCGTTTTCGTGCGTGGATGGCCCATTACTTGTCGGGCTGATTAGAGGCTTTTGCACTTAATTAACTAATGAATAATTATTGTCGGCAGTTTTTGGTAATCTATATTACGGATTTGTGTCCCTAGTAATATTTAGAGATGATTACCCACCGGACGAGACAATTTAATCATCTCTCTTTCTACGAAACTTCATTTTTAAACGCATTTATACGGTTTCTTTCACTGATTATTTCCTTTTCTGAACTTCTTCTCTCTTTCATTCGTATGTAGACAAGATCTGAAATTTCCATTTAATTCAATATTGTAATGCCCCGTTTATTTTTTTTTAATAAGGTTGGGATTATTTATCTATTTGCATTATTATTATTGTTGTTGTTGTTATTATTATTATTATCATGTTTGAGATTTATTTGCCTAATTGTCATTATTTTTATAAAATGATCAATATTATTATTACATATATATAGTGATTATTATTATTATTGTTGTGATTAAATGTCTATATATTTAATTGTTTATTAATATTTACTAAATAAATATTTGGTGATATATATATATATATATTATATATATCATCTGACTTATTTTATTTTATCGTTCGTTCGCTGGGCTTCGTTAATTAATTAAATGTTGAACCGAACATTTATATTGATAAGTATCGAGCCCGAGAGACCCGTTCCGGCCCCTTCCCTTTTGTTCCTTGGGTGCCAAGATTTGGAAATGACCTAACCCTACCCTAGTCTATATATATGCAAGAGATATTTTTCCTC